TCTTAAGTAACTTCCCCGACAAGTTGTACTCGGCCCATCTATCTAGCCCATTTCGATCAAGAGTGCATCTTCTTGATTTATGGGCCATAAAGATGAGCCCAAGTTGTGAACATAAATGAGTAGACACCATATCATTATCAACCATTATAACCATACACGTTTGCATAATTCAACAAAGATCCATCATATTTTATGAATATCAATTATGCTACAAGTAGAGGTATGAACGAAATGAGTGGTTCGTAACGAATCAATTTGGTTCGGTTCATTTGACACACCAGACGAGGTTGAGATCGTTTAAAGCCCATTTAGTTTGTAAGTTTCGCTAATGCTCGAAAATAAGAAAATTTACATATTTTTTTGTAACTCAATTTGTTTAGGCATAAGCTCAACTCGTTAACATTGATAAACGGCTCGAGCTCGTTTATTGACTTGACTCAATTAAGGATCGTGCCTGAGTTCATCAAGTACTAGAAATTCGAGCCAAGCTCGTTTACATACTTTATTAACGATTGTTTGGATCCATTAATCATATTTGTAATATATGTATAGTGTAAAATGTTATTCTATTTTTTAAATTAATTTTAAAATGATAACATTTAAATATAAATGTATATATATATATAGTTATTGAATAATGGCTAATATCCAACTGTATCCAGTCAAACATGGTGTATATATGCTTTTAAATAATTTTTTCCATTTATGAGCAATGACAAAAATATGGTTCCCTTAATTCAGCTATTTCATATAGTTTATTGTTTAATTAGTTGCCATTCGGTACGTGCAGATGAAACAGTATTTTCATAATTATTTTGCACTAAATGGCTTTTACTCTCATCCACATGAGTTCATAAATACGTGACACACAATTTTGACTATACAAAGATCAATAAAATGTAGCAAAAGTAGACAACTCGTCCACCTTAACTTAACATATATCCCTCCCTATATATTAATTTAAAACGTGTTGAATTAAGTGGCAGATTCTCACGCTTCGGATGCTGACATAGCGAAAATCTATGCTTCGTATTGTTGTTTATTTTATTATTTTTGTTCTGAAGTTAGGTTTAATATTAGACATAAATAACTATTATCATATATTGTTTTAACTCAACACCCGTGTTGTACACGAATTTTTTACTAGTTAGTTTTTAGTTGGAGCAAAAATATCTAGTTTGAAAATAACATCAACTTACCTTAACTTTTGTTGACCTTTAATTTGATTAGGGCAAAGCCAAATCGTATCTTTTCCAATATCTATTCGGAGATGAATTAATTTTTAATTATAGGAAAAATATATATGTTGAAAATAACATCAACTTAACCTTAGTTATATTGTTCTTTATTAAGGCAAGTCGTACGAGTAATACTATAAACCCAAGTATATCACTTCACATAATTATATAATTTAATAGCATAATATACATTTTCGTGTTAAAAAAAACCATAAATTACAGTTATAAAGTTTCCTATTATGTCCAAATAAATAAATAATAAGTACTCTCGTTTTGAGTCTCTCCTACCTTTTTATTCAAACACATTTAATAAATTTTCAAATTTTAATCAGCTTTTCCATTTTGACAATGGATTAATAGAAGAATGCCTTTCTCAAACAACACGTGGATTGCCTGCCGGAAAACGGGGGCACACGAGTGGCGGTGGAGTCGGATGGGCCCGATAACCCGCCCCGCAACGACTCCTTGCTCCAAATGGAAGATCCACGACAACGGCGGAGCCCCGGCGGCGGTGTCTGCCAGGTGGCTCGCCGCCAAGCTGTGGCGGTCAGCGGAGAC